GCACTACAACCTCCCGCAGCGCTACAACCTCTAGAATCCTTCAACCTCTGGACCTCTCACCTGTTTCCTTCTCAGTTCCTCTGCTGTCTCCATCATACATCTTCCCTTCTCCCTCTTTGTCCTTTCATAGGACATTTAATATGTTTGTTTAATGATTACCAAGATGTCTGGTTATAATTTTGGTTGGACTATTTTTTCAATTAATTGATTACTTGTTTTGTCTTTAAAATGGCAGGAAGATGTGTAAGCATGTTAAAATGAATGTCTTATTTGACATTTGAATTGTAAGTTGTAATATGTTTGTCTGACGTATTAAATATTAGTGTGTAAAGACACTGTGCTCACGAGACGTATTAGAAGATATTTAGTTGCATTATAGAGTTGGATGATGGTTTGATGGTGACATTGCTATTAATGAAATTAAATTATCACATTTTGAATTATTGCATCTCAATTTACTATTTAACAGAAAAATATAGGCTAATTTACAGTTGATCCATATTCCTTAGCTTCCTACCTATCAAAGGAGATCAATAATATGCATCTAGGCCTAATGGTTGAGGAGTTATTACTGATTTATTTGGGTATGTTATATTAGGCGTTTTTCCTGGAAATGGGTGTCAGTGCCTCAGTTTTTTAGATGTTTATAATCAGAATCAGATTTCTAGCCAGGTACAATTTACCATATAAGGAATTTGCCTTGGTATATTGGTGCTTAACAGTAAACATAACATGTACAATAGAAGAAAGAAAAAGTGCAGAGATCCAAAAGGTACAAGTATACGAAAAATGCAATGTGAGCAATAATAATTAGTGCAATTATGCAACTATGCTACCTACGTGGACTGGACTGCAGCGCCAGAGGGGTCTACTTGATTACTATCACAGAATAAGCTGGTGTTGCATCAGCTGGGCGGAGTTGATTGCTCTGCAGTCGACATATCGGTTACACGTTTGTTTTTTTCACTGCATGACTAAATTGATGTAAGAGTGTGGAAAAAGTCAATTGCATGGCACGAGGTCTCGTCACACCCCTATTGAATAGAAGTTAAATGTAAAAGTAAAAAATTCTATTGTAAAATTAAATTATTAATTCATATTTTAAAGACAGAATGAAATAGAATTATTAATTAATGAATGTGATTCTTTTTTTAAACTTCATCATTTAAATTAAATTCTAAATCAATTTAACAAAGCTCCTTTTCAAAGTGTTGAATATATACATTTTTGGTGATAAATAAAAGCAAAAAGTTTATAATTATTACTTGAGACTCCATCAAAGTCTATTAAAGATAATTCTGGCCTGATGCTGATCAAACAATGAGTCTTTCTTCAGTTTTTACCTGATTTATTTCTGTAAGTTTGAATTTAACATTCGCACTGTGAATATCAGAAGTTTATAAAAGTGAAGAATGAGATGTGACGGTGAAGACATGTTTCTTTTGCTAATCTCCTATTAATTCATGACTCTATTTAATGCCTTCAGGTCTTTTGTCAAATATTACTAGCACCCTTCAGTGTGTTGCAGTTCAATACCACAGGTAGGATTTATTGCAGGGCTGTGTATTTGATCACATTGTACAGCTGTTGGTTTGGTATTGATGCATATGCTGTAATATGTGTGTTATGTCAGACTCATTTCATAACTGTAAATCATTACAGATCCATTTAGTTTCATCCGCTTACTCTCTTCTTTTACACTCAAAGAGCTCTGACAAGTTTTGGATTTTGAACTCAACTGTATGAGTTTTTCAAAGTTAAACTTGCATTAAATCATAGCTTTGACTATTTGAGATATATGTTGATTGGACTTGGGTTATAGTAGTGTGTGCTGCGTCTTTTGAGAGAAACAGTTTTCATTAAACCATTTGAAAACCAGTTGAAAGCTGGGTATACTCACCTATTTATCCACTGCAGACAAGTCCTGTATTCAAATTACAACTTAAATATAGACACTTTTGTCACAACCGTTCTCACTCCAGTCATCACATATGGATGCATGGTCAAGACCCCTGGTATCAGTTTGTAAAGTAGTGGGGAGCCCTGTAGAGTCATTTTTGTAACACTAAAGGTATAATGTATCAGTAAAGTCCTGTAAGGAGGTGGTTGGGGTGGACAGGTGGGTCAGAAACCGGACTTTCAAGCAGAGAGCGTGTTTGTTTCCCATGTGAAACATATAGTCAGCAATTAGTGTTTTTATCTGTTATGTAAGTAGCTAACTTACCTTTGACTTTACCTTGACTAGTTCCACCATTGTAGGAGGTACCTGACCATGACCTTATACATGTAAACCGAAACAAATTTGGATTCAAATCCTCTAACTTTAAGGGAAAGTAGTATAAATTTAGTGGAGTTGTTTTAACTTGAAACTGAGTTAGAATACTAAAAATATATTGGTCAGACTAATTGAAGGACGTTTTGATGCATTGATAAAGTAAAACACTGAGACATCTAGAAGACTGTAGTTACAAACTTTCTGAACATTTGTGAGTTAAAAAAAAGGAAATCTTCAAGTTGGAGCAGAGTGGACTAAGACGGGAGTCAATTTCCAGCGGGGAGTCTGTACACACAAAACAGCATTAAGCAAGGTTCAGTAACATACTGTACATCCTGATAATTATTTTGTCTGACTGGTTGTTAATAAAGAGGGACAATGGAGCTGAGGTTAATGAAGTACATTAGGGGTGCAAACTAATCTTTTAAGATATTATTGCATAAAAGTTTGTACCGCCAAGCCATCCATTTACTGCACTGCATTGAATGAATGAGGATTATTATCCTGCTTTACTACAATATTTTGTACAACTATACTGCACACACACACACACACACACACACACACACACATTTTTCATGTTTCTTTTCTTGTATGCTGCTACTGTTACTGTACAGTAATGCTTTGCCAAATAATATTTTCTGTTTCAACACTGCATTCGTGTTTACAGTGTACTTTTCAACCCCTCTCAGCTATTTTCACTCTAGATTTAGAACAGCAGTGTGCATGATATCCAAAAATGTACTAATATGAAAAAAGTATTTACCATTTGATGCAATACTTCATTTTGAGATGTGTTTAGGGCATTTTGAATGCAGTGTTTTTGTTTTAAAGGAGATAGAGGCATTTTGCATTTTGTGTGAGCAGTTTTGGGAATTGTTCTGAAAAAAGGAGACGTGGTTTTGAAAACGTGTGTAAGGAGTAAAAAAAATGTAAATAGCTGAGTTTCCCTACCAGTCAGACTGAACTGAAGAAGTCTCTTGGATGAGGATGAAACGTCTTCCAGTCTCTTGAACCAGGTCCAGTTGCCCTTGATTAAACCTTCCTTGGATAACTTTGACCTGGATGACTGAGAATCTTCACAGACAATTTAGTGGCAGATAACAAGTGAGTCCCTGTCCAAATAAACTCAATTCATGTAAAACAATGATAAGAGTGGTGTCAGGTGTGTCATTGGACAGTTTGTGTTTGTGTTGGAGGTAGACAGAAGTGAGAGGGAGGGAGAAGAAGGGTATTTATGGTGGTGCAGATCTGATATGCATTTACAGTTATGGCTTTCTACAAAGTGATCTGTGTGGCAGCTCTGCTGACTCTCCTGACACAAGGTAAGAACCCTCCTCACTGTGCACACCTGAGTTAATTATGTTTGAGATCTGATGACTGCTGTCTGGTAGTTGTTAGAGGAAAAAGTATCACTTGCTTGTGAATCCAGAATTTATTTAAACTTTTTACAAAACTGTAGTGATGAAAAGTACAAAACTTATATTTATGAAGCTTTACCTATAAAATCTGTCTGCAATTTGCTCATCTGATTGACAAGCCAGCATGAAACAGACACAAATCTTCCACTTGCAGAACATGCAAGTTCATAAGTTACTTTATTATATTAAGTAAATATTAGTAATTATAATAAAGTAATGATTTTTTAAGTTGAACCAGAGCTGAAATTTGTCAGTAAGTTCAGTTGTTTTATCTCTATTATCTGGGGGATGTGGGAATAGCAAATAAAAATGAATTAGGGGTGATAAAAGAGATTCAAGAATAATCAAATTTTATACAAAACAAAAAGTCAATACAAGAACACAAAGCGATCTCGCTGAAAACCAGAGATGGTAAAGGAATCAACAACAACAAAAAAAGGAAGACCAGAGGACTGTTTCACAAAAGCAGAATTTAGAAGTCCAGGATAAGAGATAAAGCTAGGCTTGACCTAGTGTGATCACTGCATCCTGGCTTTTCCATTTCATAAAGGCCAAACCAGGCTCAGGAGTGCGACTATGTCAAGCCAGGTGTAAGTAATTCTAAATGGGCGTCAACAGCTTTCTTGAATCTCACAGATTCATTGATGCTGAAATGGAAAAGACATGTGCAGCATACTTTATTTGCTGTTACTCACTGTGTGTAAACAAAGTTCATCATGAAAAAATGCACATATATTAAAAGAAAGAAACACAGCCACAGTATTAAACAGCAATTTTTATAAAAAGGAAACACAAAATTCAGCTGGCAGGTGACAATTCAAAGTATAAAAATATAATGCAGTAATCAGCAGCTTGTTCTTTTGGCTTAAGTGCTTTTTTTGGACAATGTACATTTGTTTCTTCTATCTTTACATTGCATGTTTTCTTATTGTGCAAACAACCTTTCTTAAAGCATTTTCAGTTATTTAACATTTTATTGCGAGCAGCATTTTTAACAAATGCTTTCATAAAGTATATAGGCTATATATAGTAGGCCGAGGCAGAGAGCTGGTCAATTTTGTTAAAATGGTGTGGTTGTTTAGTCAACATGGCTAATAGATAAGAAGTCAGTGATATGGTCCCATAGGAAATACAGTATCATATTTGTATCTTGAACCTGAGGCTGTAGTCCTACAATCTGATAACAAGTCTGGCAATGTAGTAAGTTTTACCTGAAGGACATTCACAGGTGAACACTTCCTGCTGTGCTAATTTATATATGTTTTACAAACTGTCAGATGTCTGAACTGCACTTGAAAAAATTAAGAAAATAAAATATCAATAACAACCCTGGCAGAACTTGGACTTAGATGTGGAGATAAAAAGAGGCTCTGAGGAAATTGACTTGGAAATCCAGCAACTATAAGAGAAGTGATCACTGCAAAGCACGCTGTAAACATGACTGTAACACAATGTATTAATCAGCATTTTCTTTCACAAGCTCGCAGCAGATGATCCCAGGTCAAAAAACATTGTGGTATCCTCTCCCTGTTGTTTCATGAATAAACAGTGCACAATATAGCCTCCTTATTGAAGTGGGTACATATATATATATATATATTATATATAGTACATATATATATATATATATGTATCCTATACATATATAGGTTATCTCCTATATAGTATGTGTGCCATACATTTCTTGAGTGACATGTAACGTCCGGTGCTCACTTTTGAGGCACAATATAACATTATAATTATGACAGTTTCAGTTAAGAGCAGTGATATTTTTCTTCTTCTGCTTCTCACACATTCAGTCGGTCTGCTGTTGGCTGTCACACTTTCTTTCGCTGTTTTATTACTGTGCCCGTGTTACTTTGTCTTTTATTTATCATTTTTCTTTACATGTGTTTTCATTCCACATAAACCTACTCGCTGATGCTTGTTGTGTGCAAAGTATGGTGCACGCGTGAAACTGCTTTTTTAATACAGGCTAATGAAAAATATGCAAAACACATACATGAGAATATGGAATAACTGAAAAAAACACATTGGTTTCTGATCAGCGTGACCGCTGACTGAACAGATAAGGCACCAGGGTTAACTAAGCCTGGCTGCACAGAATAAATCACCATGGTAACTTATGTGCTACTGCTATGGAGCTCCGATACTATAATTCACCACAGCAATGGGTAAATAAAGGCAGAGCCTCCATTTTAATCAGGTAGAGCTAGAAATATGAATGCGTGCCAACGCAGACCATGATTGGCACTAAAACGCAGGAGTGGAGAAGGGTCAATACTTTAACATTAGTAGGCTACTTTTTATACAGCGTTGCTCATTAATCACTTACCAGACTGGACTTTCCTTAATGAATGATAAAGTGCTGGAATTCTCCTACAGCCCATTACATTGGAGTTTCAATAGGACGGCTATATTTAATAAGCTGTAACCTGACGGGACTAAATGCTGGTTGCAATCGGCTACCTGATTATGAAATAGGTAGGCTATAAGACACAGTTTACTCATGAACCTGTGATTATAAAGTCACAGTCACACCCAGCAGGTTAGCCAATCAATTTTTTTTTGCAGGGGAAAATGTGTCTATAGGGTCAACCTGCCGGTTTAGACCTCTATTTTTATTTATTAATGCTGTCAAAACACATTCAGACTATGAGCAGGTAATAGCCTAATGATCAGCTGCACCACAGTCATGCTCATATTACATACATATTATAGGTAATATATATATCATAATATATTATAATAGGTTACATATTGAACAGTGATTACTGCAGTAATGTAGCCCACAGTAGGCTAAGTGTTTTCAGTGTAACTGTCACAGTGTTTTAGGCTACCTAAAGATGGAACATTGATTTTATTCTGGGCTGAGGATAAATCCACGATGTGCAGAGACCCGTCCTTACATCAGTGACAGATCGATCAATAAAGCTGTCATGTTCAAGATCATGTTTGGGTTAAAAAACGAATAGCCTATCTAACTGGTATTTCAAAGTTTTTAAAGATGTAAATGCGTTCAGATATGTGTTTTGATAGCGACAGTATGAATGAGGAATTGAAACGGTTTATCAGACAGCCGCCTCAGGCTCCGCAGGAGGGGAGGTCAGAGAGAAACTGACGGTTTTTCAACTGATGCTGTGAAGCTCACCTCCTCCAGAGAAGGTTAGGTTCACAGCATCAGTTGCTGGAGTTAGGGGAGAGTGGAGCACGACCTAACACATTTTGGTTTAGTCTAAATAATTAAAAATATATATATATTGTTTGATTAATCAAAGTTTTATAGAAGGGTGGTGCAGTGGTCAGCAGTGGTAGATGGATTGATATTTGTAGATATTAGGCTATCTCTTTCCATCCATGATAATCCATAATAATATTTTTCATCTATCAAGGAAAGAGAGATATCTTTCCATCTAACTCATGGTCTATCATGGATTTATATTCAAACGGATGGACCAATGGATAGATGGATTATAGCCACACATCAAAATATATACAGTGGGTACGGAAAGTATTCAGACCCCTTTAAATTTTTCACTCTTTGTTTCATTGCAGCCATTTTCCAAAAATCAAAAAAGTTCATTTTATTTCTCAGTAATGTACACTCAGCACCCCATCTTGACAGAAAAAAACAGAAATGTAGAAATTTTTGCAAATTTATTAAAAAAGAAAAACTGAAATATCACATGGTCATAAGTATTCAGACCCTTTGCCGTGACACTCATATTTAACTCAGGTGCTGTCTATTTCTTCTGATCATCCTTGAGATGGTTCTACACCTTCATTTGAGTCCAGCTGTGTTTGATTATACTGATTGGACTTGATTAGGAAAGCCACACACCTGTCTATATAAGACCTTACAGCTCACAGTGCATGTCAGAGCAAATGAGAATCATGAGGTCAAAGGAACTGCCTGAAGAGCTCAGAGACAGAATTGTGGCAAGGCACAGATCTGGCCAAGGTTACAAAAAAATTTCTGCTGCACTTAAGGTTCCTAAGAGCACAGTGGCCTCCATAATCCTCAAATGGAAGACGTTTGGGACGACCAGAACCCTTCCTAGAGCTGGCCGTCCGGCCAAACTGAGCTATCGGGGGAGAAGAGCCTTGGTGAGAGAGGTAAAGAAGAACCCAAAGGTCACTGTGGCTGAGCTCCAGAGATGCAGTCGGGAGATGGGAGAAAGTTGTAGTAAGTCAACCATCACTGCAGCAATCCACCAGACTTTATGGCAGAGTGGCCCGACGGAAGCCTCTCCTCAGTGCAAGACACATGAAAGCCCGCATGGAGTTTGCTAAAAAACACCTGAAGGACTCCAAGATGGTGATAAATAAGATCCTCTGGTCTGATGAGACCAAGATAGAACTTTTTGGCCTTAATTCTAAGCGTATGTGTGGAGAAAACCAGGCACTGCTCATCACCTGTCCAATACAGTCTCAACAGTGAAGCATGGTGGTGGCAGCATCATGCTGTGGGGGTGTTTTTCAGCTGCAGGGACAGGACGACTGGTTGCAATCGAGGGAAAGATGAATGCGGCCAAGTACAGGGATATCCTGGACGAAAACCTTTTCCAGAGTGCTCTGGACCTCAGACTGGGCCGAAGGTTTACCTTCCAACAAGACAATGACCCTAAGCACACCGCTAAAATAACGAAGGAGTGGCTTCACAACAACTCCGTGGCTGTTCTTGAATGGCCCAGCCAGAGCCCTGACTTAAACCCAATTGAGCATCTCTGGAGAGAAAATGGCTGTCCACCAACGTTTACCATCCAACCTGACAGAACTGGAGAGGATCTGCAAGGAGGAATGGCAGAGGATACCCAAATCCAGATGTGAAAAACTTGTTACATCTTTCCAAAAACGACTCATGGCTGTATTAGATCAAAAGGGTGCTTCTACTAAATACTGAGCAAAGGGTCTGAATACTTATGACCATGTGATATTTCAGTTTTTCTTTTTTAATACATTTGCAAAAATTTCTACATTTCTGTTTTTTTCTGTCAAGATGGGGAGCTGAGTGTACATTACTGAGAAATAAAATGAACTTTTTTGATTTTTGGAAAATGGCTGCAATGAAACAAAGAGTGAAAAATTTAAAGGGGTCTGAATACTTTCCGTACCCACTGTATAAATATCGACAGGAGTTAGTTGTAACACAGTGTTATAACTAACCCCGCTCTGGTGAGTTTTTCTTTAAGCCTGTTGGTCAAATGTTTCAAAACTGTGCTATGTTTTAGGCAAAAAGATGGTTATTAAGGTAATACATGATTGGATTCAGTGACTTACACACACAGCTCAGTAATCTAAAAATAAGTATGATACAGAAATTGATATTCTTCCCTGTGTAACTTGACAAAAATAAGTCCAATCTCTCTAAATAATTGGCGAGACACCGTCTGCTGGCTCTTTGATAAACTAACCTGAAACACAACCTGCCCGACCCTGTGCAACTACATAAAATGTCCGTGTTACATCTTACCCCGCATTAGGTTGTGCCCCGTGCTCCCCTACCTGATCTTCTCTGAAACAGAAAAACGCTCATCTCAGTTTCCCTCATCTCAGGCTTAATTTACTCAGAATTATCACTACTCCCTGAAACGGGGCTCAGGTTACATTTATAACTAACAGTAGTAGTAGTAGTTGTATGATTATCAGCAGTATAAGCAGTAGCAGAATAACATATGGACTTTTATGTCCATCCTCACCAGAAAAACAGTTTGTGTAGCCGTAAAGTTGAATTGCTCAAGCAGCTTATTAGGACCCATATTTATGTTTTTGTGGGCGTAATGATTTTTAAGGGAATATTGAAATCTTCTTTTCTCTAACTGTAAAATGATTTTCCCTCTCTTTTAGCTGAGAGAGGACCGGGTTTAAAGTGTCACTAATCAAAACTCTTTCAGTTTGAGTTTAGTAATAAATGTTACAGATGATCACATATTTCCACCCCTGTAAATACACATGTCAATGTAGCCTGAGACATTTACATATAAACACAAAGTGTTTTCTGTTTGTTTTTGTGATTTTCAGAGTCTCAGTCACAACTAGATGGTAAGTCAAAGTTTTATGCTCACTTTTTTTACTTCCTGTTTGTCTGTCCTTTGGGACATTTTAAACAAGTTTTTGGGACATAAACATTTTGTTTATAGTTTCATTATTGTTAGTATTTGCTGTCAACCCCATATTGTTCACCCTGTGTCTTTACTGTCCCTCTCCTCACTGTGTGGTCAGCCTACGCTCAACACCAAGATTGTTGGAGGGCAGGCTTTGCATTTAACCACAAATCATTTTGGAATTGTTTTTACCATAAATGTAGATCATATTCACACTCTGTGGTAAAACAGTAATGCCTCAATAAGCCTTTCAAAATAAGAGCTGAAACATGGACATTATCTTCTCTGCATCTGATCTTGTGTGGAGTTCCATAGTTTGGTTGGTGTAGAGTGCCTTAAATAAAGTTAAATATTTACATACTATGTATGTCGCAGTCCCGTTTCACTTTTGCTAAAACGTGAAAGATTTTAGATTTTGTCATTTGCTCACCAGCTTCAACACACACTGGCAGCTGACCCCGTATACCGTTATGTGTTTCATATGTATGTGCATTTTGCAATGGAAATGTAGCAAACTTTCTCAAAATACTGTACCCCAGCAATTTTATTAGTGCTCTAAGTGAAGTTTGCATTTGTCCAGCAGGCGACGCATACTTTGTGTGCAAACATTTGGAAAAGAGCACTCTATCTTAACTGACTTTACAAGACGGCTCTAATGAACCTCAAAAACTAAGCGCACTAACAACTAAGCAATATACCGACAACAATTATTTCTAATTGCACAGTACAAGAGAGACAGCGGGAGAAACTGGTTTCAAGTCCTGCCACTCAGCAGCTATCTTGGACTAACAAGATCAGCTCTCTACCTAAATCAATGGGGAAAGAACCATAACTGCACTTTCACAAGTCAGCAGGACATAAAAACTGCATGTATAGAATCAGCAGTAAAATCTGATAAATAAAAAAAACACAAATTTTTGATGATTTTGCCCGAAAATAAGGTCTTTCCCCACAGGTTATACTTCTTCTACCCATGTGAAAGGTTTCACGACATAGGCTTCATTTACGGATCTATCCAGAGTGCTTCTTTGTTGTCACTATAAAATTGGCTTAATATGGTTCACCTCTTGGTTGTTTAAAAGCACACGATTGGCTTGTTTGCAAGAGGGGCAGTATGTGCATACAACCGCTATCTTTGGTGTTACAGGTTTTCCCCATAGAATTCCTACACATTGGACCTTTGAAACAAATCAGAAACACACATGACAGACGATAACAAACCAGAGAGAAATATACACCGACAAAAAGAGCATTGGTTGTTATATGAATTCTGATTGTTTCCATCCAGTTTGTGGCATTGCGCCACTAAACACCAGGATTGTAGGAGGGGTGAATGCTCCTGCAGGGTCGTGGCCCTGGATGGCTAGTCTGCAGAGCTGCGGATTTCATTTCTGTGGAGGCTCCTTGATCAATGACCAGTGGGTCCTGAGTGCTGCTCACTGTTTCTCCAGGTGAGCTCTCATCCTGACTTTTAATCCTTTAATTCCCCCTCTTAGTCCCTAATTAGAAGAAATAGTTGTTACTATTTTAAGACGAAAAAAATGTACTTGTATTTGAATTTAGCAATTATTTCAGCAATTTATTACAGTATTATGTCATATTGTGTATTTCTTAGAAAATATATTTCCAGCATTACATTAAATTTTTCATATTATGCTAATTTTCAGGTTCATACATTTTAATAGGGATTGTACCAGAACATGATTTACATGATTACATTTTCAACAAACAGCATATTTTTTGTCATGCTGCACATTGCTGCTCTTTTCACCCTGTGTTTTGATAGTTCTGTTTTAGCTACGGAGGGATGCATCTCACTTCTAAATGATCTTTGTTGGGAGTTGCACATGCGCAGTTCCTAGTTAAGGACTACTAGCCAATCAGAAGCAGAGTAGGGCGGGTCTTGACAAGCCGGTAAACCCGGCTTTGGTTAGGTTCAGCTGTATGTTCCCCAACCAGCTTAGCAACCAACACTGGAGTAAGAGTTTCAGAGTGGTAAAGTTTTAACTCTGCACTGCCTCTACAGCTCAGTAACAGTCACTGTCTAACATTCAGTAGCGAGGGTGGGGTTGAGGGGAGGCAGCAAAAAAGCATAATATGACCTCTTTAAAGCATTACAATTATTTTTGTGATTTTTGTCATTACATTATACTTTAAATTCTAAAATGCACTTTTTCAAAAGTTGATTTAAAAGTGGCATTTTCCTCAGCAAGCCTTTTATTTCTCAACTGCTCTGCAACTGCTACATTGACATTATTAAATTAAAGGGACTATATGTAAGTTTTTCAATGATATTAATCAAATTTTCATTGCCTTATTGTCAATGGGCTCAAAACTCACTTAGAAATGACGCACACACCTGTTTTCTCTGTTGCTTGCATCAGCCACTAATTCTGGTTTTAATGTGTTGACAATGGGTCGGATTCAGCCCTGTCCGTGCCCCCGAGCCTCTCTCATACTACAGCAACAACACAGCAGTTAAAGATATGCAGTCCACTAACACCATAAAACGACCGGCTCACCAGTCAGTTCTCATGCTCAGGCGCCACATATACATGGCTTTGGAAAAGCCGTGTCCATTGTACGCAAAACAACGATTTTGCGTGGATAGTAGACGCCCCCAGGTGCGTGTGTATGAGACACATCCAGGCCGTGTGTGTATATGACGCATTGGGGTTACCGGAAACGACAGTAGCGCTTCCGGTAGCTAACTAGCTAGCTAGCTAGCTATGTTTTTGTTTAAGGAGTTGACAACCCCCCGAGGCAATTTACCCTCACCTTAACCATCACATAAGTGTGTAAACCTAAATACAGGTGCTGGTCATATAATTAGAATATCATCAAAAAGTTGATTTATTTCAGTAATTCCATTCAAACAGTGAAACTTGGATATTCATTACACACAGACTGATATATTTCAAATGTTTATTTCATTTAATTGTGATGGTTAAAACTGACAACTAATGAAAATCCTAAATTCAGTATCTCTGAAAATTAAAATATTACTTAAGACCAATACAAAAATATGATTTTTAGAAATGTTGGCCAACTGAAAAGTATGAACATGAAAAGTATGAGCATGTACAGCACTCAATACTTAGTTGGGGCTCCTATTGCAGCAATGCAGCGTGGCATGGAGTCGATCAGTCTGTGGCCCTGCTCAGGTGTAATGAGAGCCCAGGTTGCTCTGATAGTGGCCTTCAGCTCTTCTGCATTGTTGGGTCTGGCGTATCGCATCTTCCTCTTCACAATACCCCATAGATTTTCTATAGGGTTAAGGTCAGGCCAGTTTGCTGGCCAATTAAGAACAGGGATACCATGGTCCTTAAACCAGGTACTGGTAGCTTTGGCACTGTGTGCAGGTGCCAAGTCCTGTTGGAAAATGAAATCTGCATCTCCATAAAGTTGATCAGCAGCAGGAAGCATGAAGTGCTCTAAAACTTCCTGGTAGACGGCTGCGTTGACCTTGGACCTCAGAAAACACAGTGGACCAACAGCAGCAGATGACATGGCACCCCAAACCATCACTGACTGTGGAAACTTTACACTGGACTTCAAGCAACGTGGATTCTGTGCCTCTCCTCTCTTCCTCCAGACTCTGGGACCTTGATTTCCAAAGGAAATGCAAAATTTACTTTCATCAGAGAACATAACTTTGAACCACTCAGCAGCAGTCCAGTCCTTTTTGTCTTTAGCCCAGGCGAGACGCTTCTGACGCTGTGTCTTGTTCAAGAGTGGCTTGACACAAGGAATGTTGCAGCTGAAACCCATGTCTTGCATACGTCTGTGCGTGGTGCTTCTTGAAGCACTGACTCCAGCTGCAGTCCACTCTGTGAATCTCCCCCACATTTTTGAATGGGTTTTGTTTCACAATCCTCTCCAGGGTGCGGTTATCTCTATTGCTTGTACACTTTTTCAACCACATCTTTTCCTTCCCTTCGCCTCTCTATAAATGTGCTTGGACACAGAGCTCTGTGAACAGCCAGCCTCTTTAGCAATGACCTTTTGTTTCTTGCCCTCCTTGTGCAAGGTGTCAATGGTCGTCTTTTGGACAGCTGTCAAGTCAGCAGTCTTCCCCATGATTGTGTACACCTACACCTACAGAACTAGACCATTTAAAGGCCTTTGCAGGTGTTTTGAGTTAATTAGCTGATTAGAGTGTGGCACCAGGTGTCTTCAATAATGAACCTTTTCACAATATTCTAATTTCCTGAGATACTGATTTGGGGGTTTTCATTAGTTGTCAGTTATAATCATCAAAATTAAAAGGAATGAACACTTGAAATATATCAGTCTGTATGGAATGAATGTACAAGTTTCACTTTTTGAATGGAATTACTGAAATAAATATACTTTTTGATGATATTCTAATTATATGACCAGCACCTGTATGCATGTCGACTGGCTAACCCTACCTGCTAACACATTGCCCATGTGTTGCAACGCTATTGCAAACTGTAGCGTATCACATACATGCAAAATCGCTGTTTTGCGTACAATAGACACGTCTTTTCCAAAGCGTGTATATGTGATGCCTGGGAGTAAAGTAAAATATTTACCTTTGAGATGTGGTGAAGAAGAAGTAGAAAGTGACATGATAAGAAAACACTCGAGTTCAGTACAAATACCTTGTGTACTTAAGTAGCTACAGTAGCCTAGTACTTTGTTACTGTCCACCACTGGGCTAAGCTTTGGCAACCTGAAACTAAGGAAAGGACTAGAGATGTATTTCTATATTTTGGCTCTGGACAGAAAGCTGTCATCCATTATGATGGTGAAAATAGCTGACCTTGAGCCACAGTGTTTTAAGTGGGAGCCCCCTACCCCTCATCAAGGCATTAAAATATGCAACAAACAAAACACCATTCATAAGCTGAAAAGTGTAGCCTACTCACACACACATCTTGGATTACCTACTGTAGGTCGATGTGTACAGAGCACTGCTGTTCAGTGGACTCTTTTGGGGAAAAATTTCTTTTTAGTTTTGATACATATTTTTGAAATACATGTTTATATAAATAGTCTTTTATCAGATTTACCTATTGTTATCATTTCTATTTGTACGGCTTAGTTATTAACTATAGGTAAAATCTAACTGCTAGTAAAATCCTGAGAGAATTGGCAAGGGCAGAGGGGCCGCTGCTGCAAATATTTGAGTGGCTCCTCCTCTAACACGCCTTATCTCACTCCAAACTTTTGATAAAACTTGAGAGCCCTGCTTATCATCCAATACAATTAGCTGTGCTGACATTGCTGAGCCTCCGGTGACAGATACACAGATAGTAACTGAAAGCAGCATGCAAGCTAACGCTGTAGCACGTCGATTAATGCAGTAAATGTACTGCGATCGTGGAACGAGCATGGATTAGTTCAACCTGCGTTGAAGTAACAGAGCCTGAACATGTCTGGAGAAAAGCCACAGCCTGCATGCTGGTGTTTCTGCGTTTATTGTGGTATTTCTGTATGAAAGCGGTTGTGTTTCGGATTATGCTCGCTCATGAGTTCAAGCAAGCACGCGTACGAGCACACGCCTGGTAGCAATCTTAAAACCGCACCGCTAGTGGCCGCTGGAAACTCCATAAGGCCCCTTTAAAGTTGTATGCTGGGACCAGGGTCGGATTGGCCATCTCGCAATTCTGGCATATGCCAGAGGCCATTTATTTAGGGGTGAGGGTTGAGGCGCCCAACTATATTTGGTGACCCATTTAAGCATTTTGCAGAAAAACGCTGAGAGAAATGATCATCTAAGACTCAGACGGTGGATATTTCACAAGCACGGACCAGGTAAAGCAACAGTGAACACTTTGGTGCAGGTGCAACTGGGTACAATGTTGGTTCGGTTTCAATTGGCTTCCTCATTAACCCCGCGGGTGAAAACTGTATTGCGGGTGGAAATCACGAGTGCAGTGTCATTTCATCCACTTTATAAAACAGCCTACTGCTGATGGAGAAAGTCAACAGGGCCGAAAAATACAGGGAGAGAGAAAGAAAGAGGCAGGGCCAGTGCTGTGAGGAAGGATGCTACTGTAGGCCTAGCAGACACAGAGAGGGGTGTGGTAGAGGTAGGAAGAAAACAGTTGCACAAAAATGTTCGGGTTGTAATTAACTCTGCAGTAGAGGAAGACAGTAACAGCAGACAAACAGACAGAGAGCACACAGACTCTACATGCTCAGATGGACAGCCATTGTTTTAACTGCATGTATAACTTTGTTATAAATGTGTGCTCTTAAAAAACTATTGAGCATTGTGTACCAGCCACATACATGAAATGTTACAAATCTGTTAACATTGGTGTCATTTACACTGGACATCGTTTTTTGAAAGTGAAATTGGTTAAAATATTTTCTGAAAAATAGCTTGGAACAAGAAATGTTAAATCACAAATGAAAATGCGTTGAGAAAGGTTTATTTGCACAATAAGAAAGTAACTTAAGTTAAAAAAAACAAGCTACTGATTTTACTGCACAACATTTTATTTTATTATTTTGAATTGTCACCTGCTACCTGAATTTTGTGCTGCCATTCATATAAATAAAGACATTTACTCCATAAATTGGTGCAGAAAATGTCTCCAGAATGCAGGAAATTAAGTGTTTAATGCTCAAAATTATATATTTCATCATCGAATATTTCTTAGAATAGTGTTAAAATATCTTCTCGTCTTGTTCTCGTGACCAAAGTCTTTCATCACACCCCTATTCTCAGGCCTTATGTCCCCACCTCTTTTCAACTATTGTTTCACCATTTGCACACAAATGTAATTACACATTTGTGTGTACAGTGGCAAAACAATATCCAATAATGTATTTTTTTATGCAAATTCTGAAAGTATTCATTATTGGTCACTTGATAGGCACAGGTCTTGTTATATATCACCATTAGCAGTGGAATGAAATACATGTTTTCCACCAGGGCAGTAAAATGTGACGTTTAGCTGCTGATCTGAGCTTCCCTGCTGTTACCGTTGCATTACCAATAATATTCATAAGCTGTCAGGAAGCTAACGGCACATTTCTGTCCACCTAACAAAGTCATAACAGAGCGCTGGAGAAGAACTACATGAAATTACAATCCAACTACATATTTTTTCTACCAGCGCGGTAAATGTTTAGCTGCTGATCTTAGCTCCGATACTGGAAGCTGCCGTTTTATTGCCAATTAGCGATCAGCTAATTGTCATGAACTAACAGACAAAGCCAAAACAGAGCGCTGGAGAGAGAGAGAGTAACTACATGTAATTAATCCAACTACAGATTTTACACCACAAGCCAAAGCATAGCGCTGGAGAATAAACCAATCCAGCTAATGTTACGTGTTTTCTACCAGGGCATTAATTTCAGCTGATGCTTCCATGCTCTAAGCTAACCATACGGTTTTATTGCCTATTAACTTTACTGATCAGCTGATTGTTTCAACGTAACCGGCAATGCCAACCCACAGGCTGGAGAGTAACTAGGCGACATGAAATTAATCCAGCTATTTACACCACTGACAGGGGAAACATGTCACAGCTCTCTGTGATTATGGCCAGCTTCTAGCTAAAGCTATCAGTTTTCATTTGCACCACTAAAGTCTGACAAACTTAAGTTAATTACCTGTCCAGCAGAAAACAGACTACTTCAACACCGCTTTGAAAACATCTGTCCCACATAATAGTCTTCCATTTGGGAAAATCCACAACATTGTTTTCTGCCGTCAGCTGTCTTTATCTGTCCCGACTCTGTGTGGCTTCATGGTATAACGATCCACAGACTGTCGGCTCTCATGCTAAATAACGCGTGTGCTCATTTCATTTGTCCAAATGACAACATGGATCTTATATTGCATTTCTGTCAGTAGATCCTCAGAAATAGTACACACTGAACCTTTAAAGTATGGAGCCTGTAAAAGGTGAAAAATTTCAATTCAAAATGGCAGACTTCCTGTTGGGTTTAGGGCAGTGGTCAATAACAGGCATACCGCAGTCCGCATCCTGACCTATTCGCTATGCTTTCCGAACCGACCCACAGCCGATTTATTATTGAGACTTACTACCTCGTGACGGAGCATCTCTTTTTTAACCCGCGCAGCTTTTCTAGCATTTACTGTACTGGTTTAGCGGCCCAGGAAACTCACAGACCAATCGCATGTGCTCCAATCGTCTCATGTGATGCTGCTCAGCCAATCAAATCTGTGCATTCCAATAAGTATTGCGAGTTGAGCCGCGAGATTCACTAGAGAAGTTTTGTAAACACGCACAAATTGAGGAGACGAAAGACAAAAGAGATTTCACACGGCTTTTAATCATGAATGTACAGATTCTTACATGTACATTCTTGTACATCATTTCAAGCTACACTTTTTATTCATTTTTTTCTGAAATTAGGCACTTTATTTTAGTTTACTTAAATTTAGAATTTATTACTAGAGTAGTTATTATTTATTATCCCTCCAGTTTGATGTGAAAACTGACAGTAAATATACTTGAAATATTTGATTTGACAGTCGGTTGTTGACTAAAAACATATGTTGATACAACTAGGCAACGTTATGGCACTGAATAATAATGCAAGTTAGTCATTTTGATGTTCCGGACCTTTGGGAAATTTTCTCTAACTGGACCTCTTAGGATTCTAATTGAATTCCCCTGGTTTAGGGTTTGGCTTAAAGAGGCTTTTTTGTGTGGGGTTAGGTGTTATGGTTTGGTGAAACGGAGTAAGTGGCGCTATGAGTATGGGGTGTGAATCTTATGTGAGCATGTACAGTGAAGTTACAACAACTTTCTGTTTCATTGTCAATGTATTATTATTGCACAGCAAAAATTTGAGTTGATGGGATTATTTCTCTAAAGTACGGGCCCATAAATCACCTAAAAATTACCATTCAAAATGGCCGACTTCCTGTTGGGTTTAGGGAACTACTCCCAGGGGCGTATTTGTAGGTTTGTTTCAATTTTGTGCAAAGTTTTGTGAGTTTCGTTAAGAATAAAATGTTATTATGACAGATAACAATTAAAAATAACAACAGTTACAGGGGTGTAAAATGTGAAATTTTTTTTGTCTTTACTGTTTCTCAGGACCAGCACATCCGATCTCATCGTTTACCTCGGACGTGACTCCCAGGAGCTCTCGAACCCTAACGAGGTGTCGCGGACTGTTTCCAAGATCATCATAAATCCCGACTATGACGCCTACTCATACAACAACGACATAGCCTTGTTGCAGCTGTCCTCACCTGTTACCTTCACCGACTACATCAGCCCAGTGTGTTTGGCAGCAGACGGCAGCGTCTTTAATTCAGGAACGACCTGCTGGGTCACCGGATGGGGAAACATCCAAGATAACGGTGAGAATTGTTATTGTCATTTTTAAATGTATTGTTAAAATTGAATGATTGAATGTAGTAATTTAGTTTTAATTGTTGTGTTTTGCAATAACATGTTGCAAAGGCGCCATTTTTTGATCAGATTCTGATTCACACCTTTTACTGGCTTCTTCTCCATCTCATTATGCAACCGAGGCTTCTGGGTATTGTATTGTATCTCAAAAGCTTTGAATATCCTGCAAAAGTTCCTTTGAGCTTTGCAGGAAACGTTTGCAGGTGTTTTGAGTTAATTCGCTGACATTTCGACATGTAATCATCAAGATTAAAGAGTAAAAATACATAAAAATATATGCCTCTGAGATGTAGCAGTATGGTTGTATAGAGTAGCATAAAATGAAAATACTTAGGTAAACTATCTCAAAATTGTATTTACATACAGTACTTGAATAAATTGACTAAGCTATGTTCCATGATTGCCTTTAATACACCCAAATAGTGATTTTGGCATGTTCCAGACCAAAGTTAACATTGGTGAGAGGATTGTGATGAAATTTAAGACGGTGGTCCTACAGGATCTCACAGTGGGCAAGTTCAGCACCGACAAAACGTAGCAAAATGTTTTTTTCAACAGAAATGGTGGTGCCTCAAACACCCTGTTGCGTACACGAGCGCATTTTCCTACGTTTTTTATATCATTGCGTTTACAAACTCGTCGCAGCTGATTGGGACACCTGGTATGAAAAGATACCCCGAAGCCAGTTGTGGAACGTTGCAAGGAAACATGTCGTTCAATCTGAAAAACGTAGCAAACCGGTGCAAAACGTTTTGAGATTGAACTCACACAGTGAGTTTAAGCTTCAGATACCAAAGACAGTTTATGACTGTTCAAGCAACCAATCAGAATAAGCCATGAAATGATGCCAACCAATACGGCAGCTGTGTCCCAGTAGGTAGAGCGGGTTGGCCGTTAATCGGAAGGTCGGCTGTTCAATCCCCGGTCGAAGTGTCCTTGGGCAAGAACCCCAAATTGCCCCTGGCGGCTGTTCTGCTAGTGTATGAATGTGTATGACTGGTGAATGTAGTGTAAAAGCGCTTTGAGTGGTTGAAAAGCCTAGAAAGGCGCTATACAAGAACAGAGCATTTACATTTACAAAAATATGTATGTCTCTCAACACTGTCTGACTTCCTGTCTATGGCTCTCAGCTCCGAGCCCATTGGTTCCTACTGAAGACAAACATCTTTAAAAACACCTTACAAATATATTTCATGTTTAAAAAGGCTCAGTAATTTCCTAAAACAGTTGCTGACTGTAGTTTCTATCAGACAAACAGGAGGATATAGTGCATTAGTTGGGGACTACGTGAAGTTGGAAACCACGTGAGTATTTGGGACAGCAGGACAGTGTCTGTGGGACTGAGTCAGAATAAACTGCAGTGTGTGTGTTCATAGTGAACATGTGAACCAGGGCAGCAGAGAGTGTCTAGAAGAACAAGATCAGGCTGTGAGACACATAGTGTTGACAACAAGAAAAATACAGACTCAATTTAGGTCTCTTTTCTTTTTCAGTTTCACTTCCTTACCCAGACTATCTGCAGGAGGTTAGTGTTCCCATCGTGTCCAACAGTGATTGTAATGCTATATACGGTTTAATCACAAACAACATGATGTGTGCCGGTTTCCCCCAGGGAGGAATGGACGCCTGCTACGTGAGTTTTTCTGCAAACCACTCTTCAATCAGCACTAATCAATAGACTTTCCTCTTTGATAAAGCTTATAGTTAGGGCTGGCTCAGGTGAGTCCTGAACCATCCCTTAGTTATGCTGCTATAGGCCTAGACTGCCAGGGGATTTCCCATGATGCACTGAGCTCCTCTCTCCTCTACTTTCTCTCCCTCTGTATGCAACCTCATCCCATTACTACATGTTACTAACTCAACTTCTCCCCTTTCCGGTAGTCTTGGAGCTGTGGAGTCTGGATCTGTGGTTGCGAGTCACCTGCTGCCCCCGTGTTCTTGTTTGACACCCTCTGCCATAATTGTTATTACTAGTCCTATTGTTGTTATTATTATAATTAACATTACTATAATTATCCATACAATTATTAATTTTCAGCCTCTACCACTATTACTTTTACTGTCTGTACTTCTGTGCAGATATTGTGTAGACTGCGACCCCCTACCCCTCCAGTCCTCTCTCCCTCATTCTTGCTAGCTCTCTATCTCTCTCTCCCCCCAACCGGTCGAGGCAGGTGGCCGCCCACCCTGAGCCATGGTTCTGCTCGAGGTTATTGCCTCCTAAAAGGAAGTTATATATATATACCTCAACCTATAATAAACATCTAATATATTTGTAAATTACATCTTGTATTTCAAATCTGAATCTGCAAAGTAATTAAAGTACATAGTGTATTGCAGTGAAAAATTTGCCTCTGAATTTAAATTCTCACTACAGGGGGATTCAGGCGGCCCGTTGGTAAGTAAAACTGGCTCTATCTGGGTCCAGGGAGGAGTGGTGAGTTTTGGAGAACCCTGTGCTCTGGCCAACTTCCCCACAGTCTACACCCGAGTGTCCCAGTTTCAGTCCTGGATCAACAGCCAGATCACCACCAACCTGCCGGGCTATGTCGTCTTCACGGGGAACACTTCAAACTCTGACAGCGCTACAACCTCTGAGAGCAGTTTTACCTCTGGCAGCAGTACAACCTCTGGCAGAACTATAACCTCTGGCAGCACTACAACCTCTGGCAGAACTATAACCTCTGGTAGCACTACAACCTCTGGCAGAACTACAACCTCTGGCAGAACTACAACCTCTGGTAGCACTACAACCTCTGGCAGAACTACAACCTCTGGTAGCACTACAACCTCTGGCAGAACTACAACCTCTGAGAGCAGTTTTACCTCTGGCAGCAGTACAACCTCTGGCAGAACTATAACCTCTGGCAGCACTACAACCTCTGGCAGAACTACAACCTCTGGCAGCACTACAACCTCTGGCAGAACTACAACCTCAGGCAGCAGTACAACCTCTGGCAGCAGTACAACCTCTGGAACCTCTCACCTGGTTTCCCTCTCAGTTCCTCTGCTGCTCTCCATCTCCCTCTTTGTCCTTTCATATTTAATTGTTTTTGTTTAAGGATTACCAAGATGTCTGGTTATAATTTTGATTTGACTATTTTTTCACTTAACTGATTAATTGTTTTGTCTTTAAAATGAAGATGTGTAAGCATGTTAAAATTAGTATGTTATTTGACATTTGAATTGTAAGGTTGTAATAGGTTTGACTGACGTATTAGTAAATAATAGGGGTGTGGAAAGACACTTTGCTCACGAGACGAGACAATCATTTTGAGCATTAAACATCTAATTTCCTGTATTCATGTGAATTCGTCTGCACCAATTTATGGTGGAAACATCTTTATTTATGTAAAGGGAAGCACACTTGGCAGGTGACATTTCAAAATCTGAAACTATAACAGAATCTAAGTTAGTCCAGCTCTCAGTCATTCTTTGCTGCTTTCAGATCGGTTTCTCCTGTTGATGAACTTTTTATTTATTTAATCATCCCTGCTGAGTCAGCACACATGCAGGCATGATTTAGTCTTCCCTTCTCTTTGTGTCTTTGTTTGGGGAAGTCACCTCTTAAAGTGTGCATTCGGCACCTTTTCATCTCAATGAGAATTAATTAATAAGATTAATTCAGTTTTAATTCAGTTAGAAACTCCTGGACTTTAATAGCTCCTGTGTTTCAGTAGGTTTTCTGCTCATATTCAAAACTTTCTGCACATTCAGAATCTCTCCCACAGATCTGTGCTCTGACTGAGCAGTAAGTCGTAATATTACAAGACTAATAGAATAATATTTTAAAAGGCTACCTGCCCTGTACTCCGCTGTGCATTGTGTTATTGCTCTGCTGATAGTTTCCCCTTCAGACTGTTTGGGACTGCATGTTGCATGTGAAACTAACCAACAACAAATTGTGATCAGGCAGAAATCTCACCTAAAATCAATACATTTAACTTCAGCACCTCTGATAAAGTGCAGCTCACAGTCCCAAAAAGGGCAAACTTGCGCCTCAGTTTTTAAATGTTTAAAAATTAGAATCAGAATCAGATAACAGGTACAATTTCACAGACAATGAGTTTGCCTTGGTATATTGGGCACATAAACATAATATGAAAATACAGAAAAAGTACAAAAATCCAAATGTACAAGTGTACAAAAAAATGCTTTATGACCAATAAGGATTAGTGCAATAATGCAACTATACTACCTATGTGACCACTTCTTCACACTATCTGTTGTTATACATTGACGTTAGTTATACATATATATATATATTTGTTTTTCACTACATGATAAAATTGATGTTTGGCGTGACAGCGTGTGGATGTCAATCAATATAATAGTTCAATTTAAAAGTTTAAAATTCTATTGTAAAATGTAATTATTATTTAAAGACAGAATGATATAAAATTAGTTATTGATGAATATGATTCTGTTTTTACACTTCATCATTTAAATAAAGCTCTAAAGAATCAGTTTCACAAAGCTCCTTTTAAAAGTGTTGTATTTATTAATTTTTGGTTGTAATTAAACACTTAAAGATTATAATTACTCCAGACTCCATGAAAGTATTTTTTCATTTCTTTCTACAGGTTTTACCTGATTTATTTCTTTAAGTTTGAATTTTCTGTATTTATGCTCAAATATTTAACATTTGCTATGTGAATATCAGAAGTTTATAACTTGAAGAATGAGATGTGATGGTGATAACATGTTTTTTTTTATTATCAGCTATTCATTTATTACTCTAATTAATCCCTTCAGTGTTGTTTTCTCAAATTATAGAAATATCATTCAGTGTGTTGCAGTTCAATATCACAGGTCGGATTTATTGCAGGGCTGTGTAATTGGATCACATTGTACAGTTGTTGGTTTGGTATTGATGCATATGCTGTAATATGTGTGTTATGAAAGACTCATTTCATAAACTGTAAATCATTACAGCCCCATTTAGTTTTATCCGCTTACTTCTTCTTTTACACTGAAAGAGCTCTGACAAGTTTGGGATTTTGAACTCAACTGTATGAGTTTTTCAAAGTTAAACTTGCATTACATCATTGTGTTGACTATTTGAGACTTTTGTCAGATTTATGTCGATTGAACTTGGGTATATAGTAGTAGTTGCTGCGTCTTTTGAGAGAAACAGTTTTCATTAAACCATAGCAAAGTTGAAACATGGATATAGTCAACGAAATATCCACTGCAAACAAGTCATGTATTCAAATTCCAACTTAAATATAGACACTTTTGTCAAACCGTTCTCACTCCTAAGTCGTCACATATGGATGCATGGTAAAGACCCCTGTGGCACATTTAACAGCTGATATTAAATTGTCTGTCTTAAAAGGACAAACAAAAACATTTAAAGACTGTCTCCCTTGTTCTATTTTCTCCCACATATGTGACATAATAGTGCTTGACATTAAAACGCAGAGGCATCTTTTAGAGTAGCATATGAAAAAATTAGAATACCGTGGAAAAGTTTATTGCGAGCACCCGAACCAGACTGAGAGATTAAAGGCTTCAGAAACCTTTGCAGGTGTTTTGAGTTCAATCAATCAATCAAAATTTATTTATAGAGCACTTTAACAGCAATCACAAAGTTGCACAAAGTGCTGTACCAAGAATAAAAAGCAAACATCAATAATGTATACAGTTAAAAACACTAAGAAATGAGTTCCAGTGGTGCCTTTTGTGTAATAAACAAGAGGCTCAAAATCATTAGTCTGTCTTAATTTTTCAGTAATTTACATACAAAAAGTACAAAATATGAAAATGACAATTAATATAGATTACATAAAGTTATAATTAAAAAATAAAAAATTTAGAATGGAAAAAAAGAAGTGTAGTTACGATCAACTTTAGTATCCTCCTATTCAGAAAACCCTAAAGATTACTCAAAGACCCTCAAATTCACTCAGATTAGCCTACTAGAATCATTGGACATTAAATTTCATTATATTTATATTAAATATATTGCTTCTTATTCCAAATTCTTATAGAGAACTGACACATTTTGTTGGAGACCTTTTCCCTTCACTCTCTGGAATCAAGTCTACCGGCCACTTTCTCAAATATAAACCCCTAAAAACAGCCACGTAGGCAACATGGCCGATTTCTGAACTGCGTCATTACAATCTTGGTGTCCAAGGTACTTTTCCATGATATTAAAGTTCAACAAAACAAGTCATTAATCTAAATATCCCTCTTATGTACATGACCCCCCCATTTCCTCAAGAACTTCAGTCTTCCTATGAAACACACAAACCTTTTTTTTAAACTTTGATGGCAACATGGTTCTCACAAGAAATCAAGGGTGAAACATAGAAATTAAGGTAAAACAGCATGATTTGTTTGTTCTCTTAACATGAATATTCTATACGGTACATATACACTTCTTATAACATTTTGTGATAACTGTGATACTATGATAACACTTATAACTTTCAAACTTCCACATCTAGATGTTTTCCTGTTGCTCCAGTAAGGCTTCAGCTGAGGCCTTCACATGTGAACATGTAGTTTCACAGGTCAACATGACATTTTGCATACATTCATTTGGATATAATTTCAGTGATTACATTTTTTCCCCAACTGCTCTCTCGAGTTTGTTTTCTCATGTGCCGAGTGTTCCCGAATGTTTTTGGAATTTGTATCTCGTGTGTCACTTTGTTTTATGGGTTTAAATGTCAAATCGACCTTCTATTTCCCATCTTGTGTATACAGAGCTGTTCCCGGTATCACTTTCACAGCTGCATTTCTCTAAAACTTTATCCTCTCATAGTTCACTGTTTTGGTAACAATGGATATCAAAGGAAACACCTTTACTCTGAAGCTTTGTTATTCCCTTAATTATTTCTTCCAACTTTATAAATGGTTTCTCTGCACTTAGACCTTTAACTACTACATTCCTCCAAATGTCAAACTCAAGGGTCAAAAGCCAGATAGAAGAGATGGGTTTTAAGACAAGTTTTAAAATCAGACAGTGAGGAAGCGTTTTTGGCAGAGAAGTTTGTCAGCTGACCTGATCAAATGGGTAGGTGTATAAGGATGAAGGGGGCAAGGCCATTCAAGGATTTAAAAGTCAGTAAAAGAAGTATAAATTGAATGGGTAGCCAATGGAGTGAACTTAGAACTGGGTGGAGAGAGAGAGATTAATTAATTAGTTGATTAGGGAGTTCTTCTCTGTTTGACATTTCTGTGTAATTTACAATACAGAAATGTATTTATTCTAAAATCTTTATCAATTTTGAGATGCTAGAGTTTTTCCATGAGCTGTAAACACAAAAGGGCTTGAAATACTTTACTTTGTGTAAAGAATCTAGAATATAAAAGATTCACTTGTTTTTCAACAGTTTTTAAAAGACAGTTTGGGGGACAGTTTAACTGGCAGATAGTGGCGCTGCAAATTCAGACATGAGAACCGATCAAACATCAGTACAGCATCAAACTTTACTAAACAGCTGTGGCTGGAACTGACAAAGAAACACATTGTGAACATGAAAACATGCAAAGCAGTACAATTAATATTATTCAACATATAGCCGACCTTTTTACAGAAAATATTCAGATGAAACCCCCGAAGTTATCATGAACATTTTCATAAGTAACTGTGATTTAAACACATTTTCCCAAAGTAACTGTAACATATTATTTACAGTTAATTTGTAATTAAATTACGTGACTAAACTACATGTAACTAGTTACTTCCCAACACTGGTAACTGGAATATAAATATATAATATATAATACTTTATTGCCAGGTATGTGAACACATACGAGGAATTTGACTCAGGATTGGACATTGCTCACGACACGAATACAAAATCTCAAGAATAAAAATAAAAATAAAATCAGACACAGACTTCAGTGTAGACAACACAAATATACTGCACAACAGTGCAGTGAGCAGTGTGCAAAGGATGCAGGAGTATGTACATGTCGGAGGTGGATGTGATATACAGGTACATATATATGCATACATGTACACAGTGCAATGAAGCATAGTGCAAAGGATGCTGGAATAAATAGGTGTAAGTATTTGTGCAGGAGTTACGACTTGAGGTAGGTGGATTTGGTATACAGTATCTACAATATGACAATATAACAGTATGAACAGCACTGAAATAGAGAATGGTGCATAAATAATAAGTGTTAGCCAGTAAACAGGTGGCTGATTAGAGACACAGTTACTGGGTTATTGCACAGGAATTGTTCCTGACACTGTGAATCAGAAATCAGCTGTTCATCAGAGCGATGGCTTGTGGGAAGAAACTGTTCTAAGTATGTTGGTTTTGGTGTACAGTGCTCTGTAGTCCCTACCAGAGCGGAGAAGCTGGAACAGATGCTTTTCTGCAGTCCTGACTGTCCGTTGTTGTCTGCTCCTGTCCTTTCTGGTGGCAGATCCAGGCTGGCACAGTGAGCTGGGTGAGTTTGGTGCTGAGGATGTCAGGAATGATGGTGTTGAACGCCGAGCTGAAGTCCACGAACAGGATCCTTGTATATGTCCCTGGAGAGTCGAGGTGTTGCAGGATGTAATGCAGTCCCAAGTTGACTGCATTATCCACTGACCTGTTATGCGGCATTCAGACCAAACGCAAATTTAATCCACGCAACGCTCTCCTCGTGGGGGTTTTATCGCTGGACAACTGCTGAGTGTTCACACACAATGCGATAACGCGAATAAACACAACTCGCCATTACTACAGCTGTATGAATCCAAAGCAAAAATTTTGCTGTGATTAAATAGCAATAAACGAGTAAAACTGATGCTGAAATAACTACAATATGATGCAGATTTGTTAAACATATGAATTCAAGCTTTGTCAGGTCTGTCAGCAGAATGAAATTGTTTTCTGAATGGAGTTCGGATCGATCAGGGCTATTCTATGCTAACTTGTACACAGTAAAGTACAGCGATACCTGGAAAGTTACATACACATGT